ATCCGAATAGGAAAGAAAGAAGTTAAACTGTCACTATTTGCAGATGACATGATTCTCTATATAGAAAACCCTAAAGGCTCTACTAAAACACTATTAGAAACAATAAGCAAATACAGTAAAGTTTCTGGATACAAAATCAACGTTGAAAAACCCATAGCATTCCTATAATAATGAAGTCTCAGAAAAAGAAGTAGAAAAAATAATTTGTTTTGCAATTGTACCAAAAAGAATAAAATACCTAGGAATAAATTTAACAAAACATGTGAAGGACCTATATAATGAAAACTGCAAGACTCTATTAAAAGAAATCAAAGACGATACAAAGAAATGGAACATTCTGTGTTCTTAGATTGGAAGAATCAACATAGTTAAAATGACCATATCAAGGAAAGCATTACACAGGTTTAATGAATTTTAAAGATATACAACAAAAAAATCATCAAATTTATGTGGAAGCACAAAAGACACCGATTTGCAAAAGCCATCCTAAGAAAAAAGAGCAAGGCTGGAGGCATCACTCTGTCTGACTTCATATAATACTACAAAGCGACAGTAATCAAAACGGCATGGTATTGGCAGCAAAACACATGGACCAGTGGAACAGAATCAAGAGTCCAGAAGTAAACCCAATTTATATGGGCAAATAATTTTCGACAAAAAGCCAAAAACATACAGTGGAGAAAAGAAAGCCTCTTCAATAATGGTGTTGGGAAAACTGGAAAGCCATCTGCAAAACAATGAAACTAGACTGTTGTCTATCACCTCACACCAAATTTAATTTAAAATGGGTTAAAGACCTAAATATAAGACCTGAAACAATGAAATGCATAGAAGAAAACATAGGAACCAAGCTCAAGGACCTTAACTAAAGAGGATTTTACGAACTTGACCATAAAAGCAATGGAAGTAAAAGGAAAAATAAATGAATGAGACTACATCAAACTAAAAAGCTTCTGCTCAGCAAAAGGAACCATCAACAAGGTATAGAGACAACCATCCAAATGGGAAAATATATTTGCAAGCAACATTTGTGACAACATGGATGGACCTAGAGATAATCATGCTAAGCGAAATAAGCCAGACAGAAAAAGTTGAAAATCACTTATATGTGGAATATAAACCTAAAAGCAACCAATGAGCAGGACAAACAAACAGACTCGTGGACATGGACTATAGAGTGGTGGTTACTAGTGGGGGAGGAGGGGTGTGGTAGATGGCGTAAAGGGGATCAATTATAGGGGGATAGGGAGAGGGTGAAGTGTGTTAAGGGGATCAAATATATGGCAGCTGAAGGAAACTGGAGTTTGGGTGGTAAACACACCGTAGAATATACAGATATGAAATGATAATTACACCTGAAAATTATATAATTGTATTAACCAATGTTACCCCAATAAACTTAATTTAAAAAAGAGAGCAAGAAGTCAAATCATAGAGTGAAAAATACATGTAACAGATAATTGACAAAGGGCTTGTATAAAGAATATATAAAGAACTGCTTAAAACCAATAAGAATAGAGAGATGACATACACACGACAGATGTGAAAATAAGTATCAGGAGCTCAGGTGATCTTTGAGAAAGATAGATGAGTCAGAGTAATCAATAAAGAAACAAACAAAAAGGGAACGAAAGCTTTTATTCACTTACCACAATAGTATAAGCAAGAATTAAAGCATCTAAAACCTAAGGAAGGAACAACTCCACTTGTTCCATTTTTGCTCAGGGAACTGTGCCCTGGTCGAGGGTCAGGTGGCTCAGTGCAGATGTGGGTATCCTCTCACTGTTGAGAGTGTCCCAGATAAAAGGCTCTGGCTGCCTTTTGGACTCTGAGGTGTGTGTGGGGAAAGGGGTGGGGGGGAGGGTGAGATTGAGGGAGGAGGGTCAGAATAGACTGAGTCAGAGTTGGGAAAGTGTCTTCAAATTTCTCCCCATAAAAAGGTCTCGGCAGAGGTCCTGAAGACCTCTGTGCAAGGCCTCAGGTAATAAGATCTAGGAGTCAAGGTGCTGGTCTAAGAAAGTAAATACTATGCCCAACAGCAGTCTTGGCCATGGGAGCCTGAGTCCTTGAGTGCAACTCCCCCTTCGAAAGCTATAGTGCACTGGCTGTGTCTGGTATGTGGAGGGCAGCTTTTCCCTGTGAGGCCTCTGCCAGGTAAGGCCTTTGAAATTGCTTGTGATCAGGCTTGAAAAATCACATAGGATTTCAATCAGAAGCTAAACTCCTCAGAAAGACGCTTAAGTTAATTAGTAATCAGGGAAATGCATATTAAAAAACTGACAATATTATGTGCTGATGAGGATGTAGAGCACCAGGAATTCCAAAAGACTGCTGATAGTGAATATAAATTAGTATAATAACTTTGGAAAACAGCTTGGCATATCCTGTCACCCAGCAATTCCATTTCTAGGTGGAGTAGAAACCAAAAGAAATTCATGCACATGTGCACCAGGAAACATAAATAAAAATATTCTCAGAAGCACTCTTTATAATAGCCTCAAACTCGAAAATATCCAAATGTCAATCAACTGTAAAATGAATAAATGCAGTATATTAAAAAAATAGAATAATGCTATTATTTTTAGTAAAATGGATGAAGTTTAGCTACATAAACATAATGTTGAATAAAGCTAGACACAAAATTATACTATAGGAGTCTATTTATATATAGTTTTAAAACAGAAAAAAACTAAAATACAGTGCTAGAATTCAAAACAGTGGTTACCTTTTAGAAGAAGGGAGTTTGGCAGTGATTTGTAGAACACCTGAAGGCAGTGGTTTGCTTTTGATGATTCACTGAGTTATGTGCTTTTGTTTTATGAAATTCCTATATGTGTGTAATACTTCAAATAAAAAAGTTTTTAAAAAGGAACAAATACAAGCATATTGAATTTCTAAAGTAGCCGCACATTTTTTAACGTTAAAAGGGGGAAAAAAGATGCCGTATCATTAAATAATGTCCTTACCTCTTTAGGGTTAATATATCTCACTATCTGACGTGGCTCCCCTTGTCTTCTTATATTAATCAGACTTTTAAAGTGTTGGAATATAGCGACATTCTAAAGGTTAAAACACATGAGATTATATGGTTAAAACTGGGTTTTCTACCTCTAATTAGCTTTTTCCTAATTAGGGCATAAAATAGATTTCATATGTGTAAACTACATCTTAGAAATAGTATCCATTCAGGGTTTGCTTTGACAAGCCAGGCAATGTTGGTATTATTCTCACAAAGAGTTTTACCCTTAAACTTGAAATTGCATCACTAGCAAATATAAATAAAATATACAGAACTTTGGTGGGTCACTTCTGTTCCAGAGTAACATAGAAAAGAGTCAAAAATACAGCCTAATCATTAACAACACTGACTATGGTATAATATTTTTCTGTGTTCAATTGTGAGTACTTACTGGCTACATGACTCTGGAAAAGTTGCTTAACCTCTCTGCTCAGTTTCTTATCTAAAATATGAGAATGATAGTAGTGATTTCATACAGCTATGGTGAGATATACTCCAGAGTAACATAGAAAAGAGTCAAAAATACAGCCTAATCATTAACAACACTGACTATGGTATAATATTTTTCTGTGTTCAATTGTGAGTACTTACTGGCTACATGACTCTGGAAAAGTTGCTTAACCTCTCTGCTCAGTTTCTTATCTAAAATATGAGAATGATAGTAGTGATTTCATACAGCTATGGTGAGGAATAAATGAGTTAATATTTGTAAAGCACTTAAAACAACTTCTGGCATAAGAAAACCTTCAGTAAATATTATCTATCATAATCAGTACAGAATCTTCCTCATTCCTGTAGTAATTACACTAATTTACAAACCCTATCTGCTTTTCATGTTATCATACATTTAGTGAAACAGCTCCAAACAATTCTTCTATCTTGGAAAACTATTTTTTTAGTAACTCTCTCTTCATACCCTATACCCCCAGAACACTCTTAATAACTCTTGGTAAACTCCTCCCTCCCCCACAGTTTGGTTTTAAGTCAAATCAAATCAATTTAAATTGAAGTAATCCATAGCACCCATGCAACAATTTGAAGCCCCATTGCAATTGGCGTGGCCCATACTGACACAAATAATACTCTTTCTGAAAGGGTATAATTTCCCCTAAGTAAAATTCCAAATTGAGTATCAAGAAAAATTTATGATGGTTTAAAATCTGAATAGTATTTTCTAAATATGTAGATTACGGTATCAAACTACCTCAAAACTTTGTGACTTAAAGTAGCAACTGTTTTCTGTGGGTTGACAGGGAACTTCAGCTGGTCTTGCATGAACATGTATGTGGCTGTGGTCAGCTGCCAGATCAGCTGGAACTGGGTGATTTAATATGGTTGCATATACGTATTTGGATTTTCAGCTTAAATTGTTGGAACATCTGCGATGGCTGGACCTCTCTTTCCAAATGTATTTTCAGTCTGAGTTTCTTCATAGCATGGAGGTTTCAAAGTACCAAAGAGAGAGAGAAAATAGAAATTGCAAGGCTTCTGAAGGCCGTGTCTTGGAAGGTATACAAGTTATTCTGCATTGTATCAGTCAAACTCGATCTAGCAGGCCTCAAGAGGTCAAGTTCAAAGTGTAACCTATAGGAAGTTCTTTATATACTACAGTTTACTCAGGGATGGTCCTGAAAGACAGGGATGAAGAGAAATCCTTCCAGAGGACAGAATCTCAAGCAGCACACATGACTGTGTATTGCACATGGAAGGAAAAATGGCAAGAGGCACAGATCTACAGATGGGCAGTGACTGATGGTTTGGCTGGCTAGTCAAGGATTTGGAAAGAATATGGTTAGAAAATTGGTGACAAGAATGTCTAGAGAGGAGGTCAACCCCCACCTGCAAATGCACACCAAGTGTGGAGATATTTGTGTCCCGTGTGAAAGCTCACCGAAGGGTAATCTCAGCAAAGAAGAATCTTAATTATTTACGCAAGGTGACCAGTTCTTTGGAGTCAATCAGCCTTTTCCCCTAGCCACTGCTCTTCCTTGCCTAATGAGCTCATGAACAAAGTGGCCATGGTAGAATGGGCTCAACAACATGGATTTCTATTCACCATATCTGGCTACTGCCACTGCTGAGTGCTCACTTTGCCAAAATAGTGGCTAACAGTAAGCTCCTAATATGACACCATTCCTTGGTGGAATTATCTGGCTTCCCTGTGGCACATTGATTAATTGGAACACTTCTATTATTGAAGGAGTAACACTTTAGTCTCACTGGAATTGATATTTTACTCTTCTGTGTGCACGATGCTTCTAAAAAATCCCACCAACTGTATACTTTCAAAATGCTTTATTCACTATCATAGTATTCCACATAGCATTGCTTCTGATCAGAGAATTTGCTTCACAGCAAATGTAATATATCAATGGGCTCATGCTCATGAAATTCACTAATAATATCCTCTTCCCCATCATCTTAAACCAACTGGCCTGAAGGAATGGTGGAATGGCATTTTAGAGACGCAATTACAATCAGAGTGATAACACTTTTCAGATTAGGGTGATGTCCTCCATGTTATAGTATATGATTTGAATCAATAACCAAGATATGATGCTATATTTCTCCCACACCAGCATTTATGGCTCTGAGAATCAAAGGGTAGAAATGAAAGTGGCTCCCTCTCGATATTACCTCTAATGATCCACTAGTGAAAATTTTGCTTCACGTCCTTGTACCTTTGGGCTCTGTGGATATAAAAGTCTTAGCATCCATGGGAGAATGTTTCCACTGAGATAGTTCAGTCTATATGATCTTGTAGTTTCGATAAACTTCTTTGGGAGGATTATTCTGAATTCCTGTCAGACAGTTCATAGATCTCCATTTCTTTATGGTCAGTTAATGAAGCTTTATTAGTTTCTTTTGGTGGTGTCATGTATTTGCAATACATATATTTAATAAAAGACTTATATTAAGGATATGTGAAAAATTGCTCCAAGTGAATATTGACAATGTAATAGTAGAGGTGATAGAACTTGGGGGTTAGAATATTGGGAGGGTATATGAAGAAAAGGGTTAGGATATTTATACTCTCATCATGTATGAGTTTCAAGTAATCCTATGTTAGTGTAATGGAACAAGAAACAAAAGTTTAAATATTCTTTAAAGCAATAAGGTAACAAATAGAGGAAATAAAAAAGTAATGATTTATGTTACTGGGAGAGGAGATAAGCAAGGTTGTATAAGATAATATAAATTCTTCATCTTTTCTGAAAGTCAACAGATCACTTCTAAAGTTGATAAATAAAAATAATTACTTGAGCATATTATTTAAAAGCATGAAACTAACTACTATCAGATCCAAAACAAAAAATAGTTTAAAGTGGTTGCTTTAGGGGTATGAAGGTAGAAAAGAGTAGGCTGGCATAAAATGCTTGCTTTTTAGCATACGTTTTTCTATATTATTTTGCTTATTTTAAAGAAGAGCACATATTACTTTGATAAAAATATTTAAAATGATAGACAAAAGTCTGCATTTATATTATTCTCACTATGCAAATTATTCACCTATAGGGCCATGTAATATGCTAAAACTATGCATTCTTATTAGAAGTCACCTCTGGGCTACTTGAAGTAGAATATATCTAGAATCAAGATCAAATGTATTCTCTTTACATCTTAGAACTATTTTAATTTGCATTATACTTGAACCATGACTTTCATGGTTAGCTCTTCTTCAGGGTTTCTAGCCACTTTTTAAGTCCAACTTCTCAGATATAGCTTCTACTACATAGGGTACCATTTTATCTCCAGATGCAACCCTCTTAAAGCCATTCATTCACCATGCCAATCTAAACTGAATCAATTACCATTTTTATTTCCTTCAGGTTCTGTTATTTTTCTTTTATTTCTTTCTTTTTTCTTTCTTTTGTTATACATCATTGGTTTTCCTTAAATGTCAGGTGATCCTTGGTTGTCCATTAATACGGTCATGTGTCGCTTAATGACAGGAATTTGTTCTGAAAAATGTGTCCTTTGGCAATTTCATCATTGTGCGAACATCACGGAGTGCACTTACACAAACCTAGGTATATAGCGTACTATACACCTAGGCTATATGGTGTACCACTGTCACATATGCAGTCAGTTGGTAACTTATATGGTACATGACTGTAGTTAAGAATGAAGGTCTGTGTCAGTTTTTCTTGGGAGCTAGTATCAGTATCCTGTGCTTTTTTCCCCACTGTTCATATTTATGAGTGGGAAGATTGCCTGGGAGCTTCATGATGTGGATAGAATAAGTTAGTCAACAGACTTTCTTAGAGGGGTTTTGGTCAGATAGCCAGCAACAGTATTTGAGTCTCTCAAATACTAAAATTAAGAGGGTTTTAATGTGGAGTGCCAAATCCATGCTAGAATTAGCTTTCCCAGATAGTTCATTTAAATTTTTTAGAGATAAGCCTTAGGGTTCCCTGCTGCCCCTGCCACGCACTGATAAATATCCATCTATCAGCAAATTTTTGACTAATGGTAAATGTAGCTTTGGGCATTAAAGTGACAGTGGAGACAACTGGTACCGCTGTTCCATGTGCAGACCTTCAATCAGCCCCCTTGTCTATAGTCATTCTCTTCCAGCCCTTTTAAATTGATAACTCCTAACTGATATCTTTTCTAGGATTCCAATGACAAACCAGGTCTCTCACTGGGCCCCCTTTGAAGTATATCTAGGCAAATCTTCTAAACAGTTTCTCTAGCATAATCCTACCATCTATTTTTGTTTTTCCATAAATGAGATAAATTTTCTTATTTGCTCATGAACTCCCTTCTCTCTATTACGGGTTAAATTTCTGTATTTTCATTTCAATGGGGTTCTGGAGGGACAGAAACTGAAAATATGTGCTCAGTCTACCATCTTGGTAAAATCTCACACACATACACACACACAACTTGTTTTTTTCATATATGTCTTCTCTACTGAAGCTCCTTAAGGACAAGGATGTATTGTAAAATGCCTAGCACAGTGCCAGGAATATAATAGGATTTAAAGGCATGTGGCTAATTGGATCTAGATGTCTGGATGTAAGAGAAAAGAAGTTACAAATGACAGAACTGCTCGAGCCTAGATGACAAGTAGGCTGATATAAACCATCAAAGGAATAGTAGATTAAATTTTTTTAATTTTATTTTAGTGTTGGAAATCAATAGTTACACCCCAGCATGGGTTTTAAGGCGTCGATAGAGGCAGTAGAGGCAAATAATAAAAGCTATTTTTACAAGACTTGGTTAACTGAATCAAAGGTACTCTCGTGTGCTAGAATCAGAGCCATATAACTTCATACAAAATTATCAGGGAGACAAGAGTCCTGCTGCTGTCAGAGAGAAGAGTGAACTCATTTTAGCTCTTGGCTCTCACCTAACCAGGTAAATCAACTTGGAATATTTCTTATTAGATAAGAAAACCAGCTCTACCCATATTAGAGCACGATAAGGAACTACTACATTAATCCAGGTATGGTGTATTATTAAACTTTAAGTCCTCAAGATTAAGTACTCAATTAATATTTAATGAGTGAATGTATTCCTAACATCTGTTCACAAACGAGTCAAGAAATAAAACTTTTACAGGTGAAAGCCAAAGGAGCCAGTTAGTGATACTTTCATTGCTAGTAGCTATTATCAAAGTGCCTGGCCCAGATCAAGAACTCAATAAATACTTATGAGGCTAATGAGATTACTAATTAATGTTAAGTTTTTGAAACTTTAAAAAATGTCTGCTTTTAAAACAAAGGGTGGTATACAATTCTGTAAATATACTAAAAACTACTGAATTGTACACTTTAAACAAGTGAACCTTATGATATCTAAATTATATCTCAAGAAAGCTGCAAAACAACAACAAAAACTCACAAGGAAACTTTTCCAGGCCTTCTGAATGACTCTGGCAGCTTTATCCCTCTTTGTATATTCTAATTCCTGTATCCAAGGCATTTAAAGTCCTGAAAGAAAATAAGCAAAAGGGGTATACTTAAAATTACTTTATATACTCCATTATGAAACTATCACTAGAACTCAATTAAATAGAGTTGTATAAAGGAAATAATATATAAATAATGTCACATTAAATTTACAGTAGTAATGTAGTTCTGAGATTCTTTATCATAGTCTAAACTGAGTAAATTTTGCTTAAAATTTTAAAATTCTGAACTATTACTTGTGAAATGCTGAAAGGATTTACAAATCCCAAAGCACTGCAGTATTCAAATGTATAACACACATCTACTAATACATGCATTACATTTAGAGAGACAGAGACCAAACAGAAAAACTGTAAAGGATGTGCCATTTATTAGAAAAAATAAAAGAAAAATTTCTTTATATATTATCTTTAATTTGTTTTTTTTCTCTTTTGATGCACAAATTATTTGGAAGCTTAAAACTAAAGATATTTTCTTCCTAACTATATATTGCTGAGTTTTAAAAACTGACATTTTTAAGAGTAGGAAGAAAAAAAAAGTATGACTTTTTTCTTTTTCTTCAAGTAGCTTTAATCATATAGAAGGCATGGGGATATAGGTTAAATCTTTAAGTTTAAAGTAATACCAGTGTTTAAATCTTAACATATTCTATCTCCTACTTTGTTGTGTAATCTTGTATAAGTTTTTAAACTTATTCTAACTTCAGTTTCCTCATTTGTAAAATATGGGGATTCATAGTGCCTACCTTATAAAATTGTGAAGAATAAATCAGATACTACAGGTAAAGCATTTAGTACAGTTTCTGGCTCATTGTAACCATTCAATAAATCATATCTATTATTATAAAACAAAGTATTTTAAAAAATAAGAACTATCCATGTGTGTTATTTTGGATAAAAATTGATGTAATGAACATTTTAAACACAATTATGCTCATAACTTACAAATAACTATCAGCACAAATAATAGTAAGAAATGATATTTAGGGCTTAAAAGATTTGTTAATTTTGATCGAAGGATCATATTTTGAGATATACTCTTTCTAGCCAGCAGGTGGAGAAAGAACAAAGTGTAGTTTATCTGCGTATTTCAGGATATTTCAGGAAAAAAAAAGTTTTCCTTGTGAATAGTGTGATAATCACTTTTAATAAGTTTTAAGGACACTGTCACTATTTCTATCATTAAGAGATTAATAGAAGATAGCTTTGCCATCTGAAACTTATCCTAACTTTAAAAATCATATCAAAAAGTTAATTTTAAAATGTGAGAAAAAAATAAAACAATAATTATGCTGAAATTTGAAACATGGCAGTTACTTCAGTTCATTACTCTAAGGTTTTTCTGTCCATGTTCTTTTTCACTGGTCAACATACAGAATACAGTTATCTGGTTATTCACAAATAACCATAGAATTGGGATAATATTTAAACAGAATTAGAAAATATGTAAATATCGTTCCCTATTTAATACCTCATTACTCATATGAATTACTTATATTTATTTACTTTAAAAGTTACTATGTAAATAACACATAAATACATTCTGGTAGTAAAAATTTCAAATAATGTAGACTTGTAGAGTGAAAAACCTATTTCTTCTAGTCTAGTCCTCTCTTGAAAGATTACTACATCTCTTAAATAGATGTGTGATTCTTCCAGAACTTTTCTTATATATTTAAATTATAACTATATATATATACACATACACACATGCTTATATATATTATATATACACACATATGGTACAGAATTGTTTGCATGAATGTGATATAACTAAACATATTTTCTGCAACATATGCTAACAATATGTGTTGGAGACATTACCATGTTAATACATATAGATCTTCCTCATTCTTTTTATAGTCGTACACCATTCCTAAATATGGATATGTCCATACTAAGTATTTAACTATTATTGGACATTCAGATTGGGTTTTTTTTTTTTTTTGCTGTCACAATTATAAAACGAATATCTTGATACATCTATTTGTGTACATATGCAATAATTTTTGTTAGATACATTTTTAGAAGTGGAATTGCTGTGGTGTATATATTTTGCATTGACTGTCTAGAAGGGGATGCAAGATCCTGCTAACAATGATTGTCTCTGGGGAGACCTCGGAGGACTAAGGAAACTGGATTTGGAAATGAAAAGGTTTTATTCCAACATATTCTTTTATATAGTGTAATTTTGTTTTTACAATGTACACATAGTTCATATATATAAATAACTTCATAAAAAAGAAGAGTATGCACATTAAAATTTTTACACAGCCAAACTGTCCTCAAAAATGTTAATTTACACCTATAAACATTCTATGACGATGCTTAATTTCTAAATTTTACAAAAATGAATAACTAAACATAGATGAGACATTAGGACTATTGTGGGTCTTTTAATATTCTTTCCAATAATTCGATTATTTTATTCTTATTATCATGCTTAGTGATTTAAGGTCTAAAGCAGCATACATATATGTGTGAGGTAGCACAAGATAGCATTAGTGTTAATTCATACAAATTGCATATTTTCCCAAATACATTCTCAATTTGGTAGGTAAAAATTTTAAAGTAGGTTTTAAAAATTCCTTTTAATTGTGTGAACATGTCTGAAACAGTTTTATTGGGCACTTTGACTTAAATAATTTCACCCAGGCTTCCTGCACACACCTGTTTCCTGCTTCTCATGTGATGAAGGCTAAAAGTTATTAGATGCTGACAAATCAGTATCCTTATATGTGCATTTGTTGAACACATCTTCTAGAATCTCATCCCCCTACAATGTAAGATTCCTTAGAACAGACTCTTTTCTTGGATATTGCTATATCCCTCATTTCTAGCAGAGTAGATGATCAATATATATTTGCTGGCTGACTGAATAGGAGATTGGTTAAATAAATTATGATGCATTCATACAAAAGAATCTCATGAAAATTTTAACTGGTGCTGTAAATGTATACACACTGACATGGAAAATGTTTCAAATCATAATGTGCCATTTTTAAAGAGAAGTTTGTTAAACAGTTATCTGTAATAAGCTATTTCTGTTAGCTTCTCTCTCCTCTATTCAAATATGTGCATGTGGGTATAACTTTGTATGTATGAGTATAAATATGAATGTTAACAGTGATGATAGAATTAAGGAGGAATGTTTATTTTTGCTTACTTTTATAATGAACATGTACTACTTGAATAACAAGAAGAGTTTTTAAAAATTAGTTTTGTCATCAGCAAGAGAACGAGTTATCAGACATATGGTGGGGGAGGGAAAAGGCATAAGGAGTTGGGGTAGATCTCCTGTAGGTGGATCTCTAAATTTTGTGCTGCTTTGAGTGTGTTCTATAAACTTATGCCTGTCTCTGAACTGCGTGTTTCCTAATAAGATAAATAAAGAAACTGAGAGTATTTAGAAACTTTTTCAGCAATTTGACATTGCTGTGGCACACAAACACGTGATCAGTGGACTTATAGTTGGTACATCTTTATTATTTTTCCTTTCTCTAGTAATTCATTTTTATTTTATTTTACAAAATGTCTGCAACACATTGAAAATAAATTTTTAAAAGATTCTTCACCACTGAAAATTGTTCTAAAGTGTAGTTTTGGGATTAGGCCCAGGAGTTACATTCAGCTGGTTTCCTATTATGTCAATAGTATCTGTTTAATGTTCTAGGAACCAGAATCTATACACCAATACCTGATACCCCTGTACATATATCAGACACCACTTGTATGGATCTTAATCTTGCTTAAGGATCTTGTTCTTACTGTTGCTTCTGTATCCTTGTTTGGACTGGGCTTAGTATGGTGGGTGTTGGGGAACACAGGCAAATTTTAACATATATTAATATCATGCAGCAATTAAAAATAGTGTTTTAAATAAATATTTATTGGGGGAAATAATACAATAAGTGACACAACAGGCTAAAAATTCTACATATTATATTAATTCATTATTGTTTAAGCAGAAACCTGAATGAAATGGAGTGATCCATTTACATATCCTAGGAGTTTTCCAGGCAGATAGAATGGCAAGGTTGAAGACAATGAAATAGGAAGCTGGAACAGGAATGTCAGTGTGACTGTAGACAACTAGAGAGAAGAGTGGTAGGAGATAAAAGCAGAGAGACAGTAGGATCACAGATTACACAATGCCTTCCATTGTAAAAAGTTAGAATTTTAAGTGTAACGGAAAGCAATTGGAGGGTTAGATCAAGGAATAACATGATATGACTTGTATTTTTTAAGTATCACCCTGAAAGGGACAAAAGAAAACAAAAAAGCTAAGCTACTGCTATGGCTCAGCCATTAATAATTATACAATACCAAAATGTATGATACAACGACAGTAATACCCTATAATTATAACACTCTGTGATACCACCCATGGTGATATGAATTTGGATATAACTCCTGTCTCCAAAACTGGCTTACTCTGGATATTTAGTTGTTTTGGAATAGATCAACCTTATCCTGTATGCAATTAAATTTCCAGAACCTACTTAGTGTCATGGCAGGATTTTTTTTTTTTAATTAGGAAGATGAGGGTAGAAGATGAGTGTGTGTATGTATATATGTATGTTGTGGTGGTTTGGTACAAGAGGGCTATATTCTCATTTTGTATTGTAAGAAGTTACCAAAAATACTAAATCTAAAGGAAATCAAGAATAAGTAGAATAATATATTATTGAAAAAATGAAGGTAAAAACCAATACATGTGAAATGAAGAAGGTAAAACAGAGTAGTGGGATAAAGAATGACACGGTATTTCAGCCCAAGTGGTCAGGGAAGTTCTCTCTAATGGGATGACATTACTTTTCATGATGCAAAGAGATGACAGGAAACTGGTAGAAGAGAATTCCAGACACAGAAAACAGAAAATAAAAATGCCCCGAGATAAGGAGCTTGGTGTGTTCAAGTGGTTGAAAAACAAAAGTGTCATTGGCGCTTAGAGGAGAGGCAGAAGGGTAGAATTTTAAATTTTAAATTTTCAAAAATTTTGTGAGCTGGTTTTTAAACACGGCCATTATGAAAAATTAAATTATTTAAACTTACAATTAAATAAAATAAAAATAATAAAGACTAAAAACTCATCGATTAGTAATTATTTTACTATTGAAGAGGATCAGGATATACCACCCCAAAATATGCCATTTTGGCATAAGCATTGAGTTGAAGGCAACCGAGAAACAGCAAATGCAGGAAAAGCTCTCTACTCTCCTTCTAGCTGCCTAAAAGTAGGACATAACTTCCCTTTGTGAAGGTGTTCCCCTTCTCCTTTGCCATACCAGGAGGAAGAAAATAACCATTACGATTGGCACTAAAATGGGTCGGCACAAACAAACCTCACTTAAATGACCTTTGTCTTCCATTAGTTTACCCTCAAATCTTTCTTTATCTTGTCACTTCACAAACCTTTGATAAAAAGGTATATAATACTAACAGTCTCTTTAGGTTTTCACTTCCTTTTCTCTGTGCATGAAAAATTAAAAGATTAACATCAGATGAAATTTATGTCCTTTTTGTCCTGTTAATTTGTCTTTTGTGATTTTAACTTGCAGTCTCCAATCGCAGTATCTAAGAGAGAAGATGAAAAGTTTTTCCTCCCAATCATTATATTTTACTACTATTTATTTTCAGGTTATTTTTGTTTATTGCAAGGTTTCTCAATAGTGGCAATACTGATATTTTGAGCTGAATTCTTTATTGTAGGGGTTGTCCTGTGCATGGTAGAAGGTTAGCAGAAACCGTGTCCTCTACCCATCAGATGCAAGTAGCACAGCTGTGACAAACAAAAATGTCTCGACATTTCCAAATGTCCCTTGGGGAGCAAAACCACCAAGAAATACTGATTTCTGCATATTATCTAATGGTGTCTGTATGGTGGAAACACTGTATAACGGTGCACTACCATACATCTCTTCCCAATTCCTGAGTCCATGACCATAGTTTGTAATTGGCCAGGGTGGGAGTATTTATATCACAGAAATTGACAAACACCACAAATCAGGTCTTGATTTATTGTTCTGTTGATTGTCTAGATTTAAGAAAGCAGTGAAAATGTTAATGCACACTAACTTGTATGTCACCATTACATTATGAATAACACAAAATATCGATGAAATATCTTCCAATATTCAAAATTATCTGATTCAGAAAAGAGTGATTGGCACTACTGAGAAATAATTAAGTTCCATATATTTCAAAAAAGAGAATTTGCTCAGCTGTGTCAAATGTTGCTGGAGGACAAAGTAAATTGAAAATAAAGAATTAGATTTAACCAGATAAAGTTGCTGGTGTCCTTGATAAGTACTGTTTCAGTAAATAGCAATAAAAAAAAGCCTGGGATGGGTTGAGGAAGTGGGAAAGTTGAGAAAGTTCAGTATAGTAACAATTCTTTGCAGTGCTGTAAAGGAGCAGAGATATGGGATGGTGGCTGAATGGTAAGAATGGATTCAAGGGATTGTGAATAAAAATAAGGGAGATATTAAGGCATGTTAATATGCTGTTAGAGATAATCCAGTAGTGAGGAAGAAAAAAATGTGGAAAGAGAGGGATAAATTGAAGGGTAAAAGTGTTTTGAGTTTAAGAGGAAAAGTTCCAGAGAAAAAAGGGGGTAAGGACAGTTAATGGCCTTAGATTAAAAAAAAAAAAAAATACTGATGTCATATGGTTATTATAAGCCTACAAATAAATTAACCAATGTGAGAATACTTCATGAATTCGAAGACACTAAAGAGTACTGTCAAACTACTGTTCATGTAATGAAAGATTTTATTACACCCAGGTTCCCCTTGATGATTCAGTGATATAAAGACTTTTAACGATTCCAAATCAATAAATATTATTATATCATGGCTCCGCTGATCTATTTAGGCTTCATAAGAAAAAGCCTACAAGATAAATTCTTAGATTCTCAGTTCCGTTTACTTTAAAAGTTGGAAAACAGTATTAAAATATGCTGTTATCAGAATCTATACCTCTCATTTTGTTCCTACTGTTTAATTGAATAAACAAATATGTTTCGTAACCTTTTATAAGTTTTGTAATTTCGCTTTTCCTTTTTTCCTGTGGTCCAGAGGCAGAGGAGGGACAACTACTACTAACCTACCTATTCCGTAAAAACGCCTTTCCCTTTCCCATTTCTAAATAACTAAATGAAAAAGACGGAAAACCATTTCATGGACCGAACAGAAAAAAAATGTAAGGCAAATTAACAAGCATTTCCCCCTCTGCCTCAACGTGGACGAAATAGTATCTTTGCAGAGGTGCGAGGAGTGAGGAAGTATGAGCGTCCACAAGCGCAGGGAGCTCTTTTCAACCTGGGCGTCGGGAATTCAACGAGGGCGAAGAGAGGAAGCTGGTGGGGCGGGGTTAATCCAGGGCAAGACTGTAAACAGAGGCTGCAGGCCTAGCGGGGGCTTCAGAGAAACGTAACATCCTTAAAGGGGATGGACAGGGCGCGGTCCTCAAAGGTCTGCCTTTAGGGCCCTGAAACAGACTAGGGTCTAACCAGTCGCCAAAGAGGCGAGCGGAACAGGAGAGGTACCCGCTTAGAGGGAGGGGACACCATTCCCTTCACCTGCCAATCGCCGCTGGCCCGGGCTCCGCTGGTTTCCTCGGTAACACTGCAGACGGAAATTACGTAATTCAAGGTCCGTGCTGTTTTTCCGGCTGGTCCTCTTAGCCCCGCCTCTCGGTCCCGCCCACCGGCCCCAAGTTTTCCCTCCACCCTTAAGTCCCAGGTTTCGCATCCGTGGAATGTGAAGGTGGCTGGATCTGTTAGAAGCCTTTCCTGCGCCTATTAGTGGCTTTCAGACAAAGGATTTTGGAAAAGACACCGAAGGGATTTTCTGAGAAGTTGGCCTCAACGTATTATAAAGCCTGGGCACTTCAAAGTCTTTAAAGATGTTGGAAAAATATAGTGAAATCTTTTCTATTGAATTTATTCTTTATAAGTAGGAAAACTGATCTTTCTATGATGAGACAGGCCTTGCTCAGGATCAAAGAATAAGTGGCACGTGCTTGCAGTCTAATGCTATTTCTAAATGTAAGCTTTTTAGCTGGTAAAACCAAAATCGATTTTTAAGTGAAAACAGTTGGCCTCTTAAATGAATTTCCAGATAACCTTAAATTATACAAATATTGCAAGTTTGTATATTATACAAATCTAAAGCAAATTTGATTTGCTTGAATTCTATATATCTCACATGCTGGCAATGCTTTTGTTTGTCATGGATTATTGCAATGTCAAACAACCTTTTTAGAAACTGCCCAGTTCTGTTATTTCTCTCCTATTTTTATGCATGCAATAGAATTAGTTTATAAAAAAGATTAATGTCTAGGGGGGAAAATACTGGAGGAAAAATTTCCTTACATAATAAAAACATCTGTACTGAAGAAAGTCCCTGTAGGCTAATTCAGCAACTCACAGAGCTTCCAGAGTTCTTTTTTATTTTTTCCAAATCGAGTTAATATTCAATATTATTTTATATTAGATTCAGGTGTAGAGTATAATGGTTAGACCTTTATATAATTTATGAAGCGATCCCACAACCTAGTACTCACCCTGTGCTATGCATAGGTTTTTTTTTTTTTGTAATTTTTAAAAATTATTATTTTTTTATTGACATTGGTTAATGAAATCCGGTTTCAGCTGTACATTTTAACAGTAAGGCATATATATATTTACATTGTGTATTCACTTCCCATAGTTAGGTTTATTTCTGTCACTACATGTTGGACTTCTTTTACCCCATCTACCTCCCTCCTCCTCTCTCCCCTCTGGTAACCACTAGTCTATTGTCCGTGTCCCTGAGTCTCTGTCCTGCTCGTTTGTTGCTTTTAGGTTTATATCCCACATATAAGTGATATCATGTGATTTTCAACTTTTTCTGTCTGGCTTAGCATAATTATCTCGAGGTCCATCCATGTTGTTGCAAATGGCAGTATTTCATCTCTTATAGCTGAATAATATTCCATTGTATATATGTACCACAGTTTATACAATCATCTATCATAGGGCACTTTGGTTGCTTCCATGTCTTGACCACTGTGAATAATGCTCCTATGAACAATGGTGTGCAAATATCTTTGCAGATATGAGTTTTCAAGTCTTTGGGGTAAATACCCAGTAGAGAGATTGCTGGATCATATGGTTATAGTTATTATAATGTTATTAACTATTTTTCTTATGCCATACTTCACATTCTTGTGACCATTTTGTAACTACCAATTTGTACTTTTTAATCCTTTCACCTTTTTCACTCAGCCTCCCAGCCCCACTCGCATCTGGCAATCACCAGTTTTTGTTCTCTATATTTATGAGTCTGTTTCCATTTTGTTAGTTTGTTTTGTTCATTAGATTCCACTTATGAGTGAAATCATACGGTATTTGTTTTTCTCTGTCTGACTTATTTAATTTAGCATAAGACTCACTAGGTTCACCTATGTCATTACAAATGGTAAGATTTCATTTTTTATAGCTGATATTTCATCGTATGTATGTCCCACATCTTCTTTATCCTATCGTCTATTAATGGGCACTTTGGTTGCTTCCATATTTTTGCTATTGTAAATAGCACTGCGATAAATATAGGGTTGTATATATCTTTTTGAAATAGTGTTTTGGTTTTCTTTGGATAAATACCCAGAAGTGGAATTTCTGGGGCATAAGGGAGTTCTATTTTTAATTTTATGAGGAAACTCCAAACTTTTCCAAAGTGGCTGAACCAATTTGCAATCCCACCAACAGTGAATGAGGGTTCCCTTTTCTCCTCATCCTCACTCACATTTATTGTTTTTTGATTTATTGTTGATAGCCATTCTGACAGGTGTGAGGCGATACGTCATTATGCTTTTAATTTGCATTTCTCTGATGATTTCATTGAGCATCTTTTCATATGTCATTGGTCATGTGTATGTCTTCTTTGGAGAAATACCTATTCAGGTCTTCATTTTTTAATTGGATTGTTTGGGATTTTTTTGTTGTTGAGTTGTATGAGTTCTTTATATATTTTGGATATTAATCTTTTATTGGATGTATCATTGGCAAATATCTTCTCCCATGTAGTAAGTTGTCTTTTCATTTTGTTGGTGGTTTCCTTTGCTGTGCAAAAACTTTTTAGTTTGATGTAGTCCCATTTGTTTATTTTTTCTTTGGTTTCCCTTGCCTGAGACGATATATCAGAAAAAAATATTACTAAAAGGAATGTCAGAGATTTTACTGCTTATGTTTTCTTCTAGGAAGGAGTTTTATGTTTTGGGGTCTTACATTTAAGTCTTTAATTCATTTTGAGTTTATTCTTATACATTGTATATGATCGTGGTCCAGTTTCCTTTTTTTTGCATGTATCTGTCCAGTTTTCCCAACATTGTTTGTTGAAGAGACTGTCTTTATCCCATTCTATATTCTTGCCTCCTTTATCATTGATTAAATGACTATATAGGTGTGGATTTATTTCCAGGTCTTTATTTTGTTCCATTGATTTATGTGTCTTTTTTTTTAAGCCAGTACCATGCTTTCGATTACTATAGCCTTGTAGTATAGTTTGATATCAGGTAGCATGATACCTCCAACTTCTTTCTCAAGATTGCCATGGCTATTTGGGGTCTTTTATTGTTCCATATAAATTTTAGAATTATTTGTTCTAGTTCTGTGAAAAACGCCGTTGATATTTTGATATGGATTGCATTGATGTTATAGCTTGCTTTGAGCAGTAAGGACATTTTAATGAGATTAATTCTTCCTTCCTATCCATGAGCATGGTATATGCTTCCTTTTATATGTATCTTCAATTTTTTTCTTTACCGACTTATAATTTTCCTAGTACAGATCTTTTACCTTCTTGGTTAAATTTATTCCCAGGTATTTTATTGTTTTTGATTCAAGCATAAAGGAGATTATTTTCTTAATTTTTCTTTCTGATAATTTATTGTTGGTGTATAAAAATGCAACCAATTTCTGAATATTAATTTTATATCCTGCTACTTTACTGAATTCATTTATCAGTTCTAACAATTTTTTGGTGGAATCTTTAAGGGTTCTCTGTATAGAGTATCATATCTTCCATGAATAATGACAGTTTTATGTCTTCCCTTCCCATTTGGATGCCTTTTATTTCTTTTTTCTTGTTTGATTGCTGTTGCTAGAACTTCCCAGAGTTCTTTAAAATCATTATCACAGTAGTAATAAGCAGGAGTGAGCTTTAGTTCCCTTTCATGTAGTTACCTCGATGCATTAATTTTCACAGTAGCTATGAATAATAAACTTTAAAGATATAGTCATGGAAACGTGTACTTATACATGATTTTTTAATCTAGTAGAAACTAAGTTTAAGATTTGAATTAAAAACTACAAAACTGCACAACAATGTTAAATGTACTTAATGCCACTAAATTGTACTCTTAAAATGGTTAAAATAGTAAGCTTATGTATATTTTACCACAATTTTAAAAAATTAAAAAACTATAAATATAAACTAGTAAACGACTTTTAAAAGTATTTCTAGATGTAGAGAATGAAACATAAAAACACATTAAGGGATACTACCTTGTTTACATATTACTTTTAAGATCAGCCCTACATATGTTTAATGAAGTGCCTATCTGAATTACTAAAAAAAATAATTATAGTAGTTACTGTTCAAGCATTACTATTTTGCCTATAATCCAATCCAGAAGAATTCAGTATTTTCTTAGTAGTAGGCTCAGACCTTTTTTTATTGCTCCAATATATGTAGAAATCTTTCGGTTCTTTAAAAGAAAGAGTATCTTTCTTTGAAGTAGTTACAAAGGATCATTAAGACTCAAAACAATCAGGTTTTCTGTTTATTCCTTTATATGTACCTGCTTAAATCTAGGAACTGTTTACTAAGAAACAGAAATCAGGGGAATGTCTGGATGGTTTTATAGAAATCTGTCCTTCTTTCTTTCTGTTCATCATACCTTTATTGTCCTCCTCCTTTTCTTTTCTTTTTTCTTCTTATTATACTTGTTGTAGTATTATATTTATAAAATTAGTATTTTTGCTTTCCAGTTAGAAGACAAAGGCAAGAGATAAGGAAATAAATGAATTAATGAGAGAGAAGGGGAAATTTTTTGTGCAGAGGTAGAGTCGCAATTACATGCCATTTCTTTCCTTCTGCTGCTTCGGCACTGGAACGAACTCCATCAATGGACAAGACTGCCCTTGGATGTGAGCACAGAATCTTTTATAAATATCTTACATAGTAGAAAACTACAATGTCACCATGAGTAGGAGTGTGGGTCAAATATACAAGTCCTGCAGAGGAAGCCAGAAGAGCCTCCAACCAGGCATCAGTACTCCTGTTATGAGGTTTAGCAGTCTGAAGAGGCTGGGAGAAGGGAGTTGGCACATTAGCTACTTCTTTGCACAAAAATCTGTCTTCCTCATCCCCATGATTCTTGTTAAGGATTGCCTTGTTGCTGTCTTAAAAGGAGTTTATCAATGGACAATGTTAGTAGCAATAACATTTTTTTTTTTCATAAAAATCAAGATGAGGGCCCATATCAAGTAGGCAAGTTAGAATTTCTCTTATTCTTGCCTTAGTATCCTGAATGATCCAGGATTTTAACTTTTTGGTAAGACAATTCAAATTAGTTAACAAAAGAAACATATAATATTAGCAGTGGTGTGCTAGTAAACCACTCTCAAAAAATAAATAACAAAACCCTGAATTTAGCATTTGCCAATTTTTGGTGCTGAAAACACTCTCACTATGGGCAATTTTAAGGTTCCAACGTGATGTTTTTAAATGTGAAGACAAGAGCCAGATCCATTGGAGAGCCGGTAGGTGCAGGCTCCATCCCACCACTGAAACTAGGCACTTCGTTCTTAGGGAAGTTGCTATCACGGAAGTTGCCACTGCAGCACCCCCGCGCCCCGCTCTTGGATACTTGAACTTTAAAGGCTTCTTTATGTTACATTTTGGTCTCAGATGGGAGAGCTAGGTAAATCTAGATGGTATCTTACCCTTCACATTTTAGAGTTATTCAGAGGCAACATAAAACTTTCATTTGGCAACCGGAACAGAACCTTGTTATAATATTCTCCCCCTTTACAAGTCTCTGTGTCACCTCATGCTATTCCAAATCAGGGACTCACTTAGTGAATCACTCTGACATTAAATGATAAGAACGTGGGGCAGAAATAAGCTATTTTCCTCAATGAACTCATTTAGCTCCCACCTAGATAGCAGGTCCCTATTCCATAATGCAGTGCTAATGGTACTAGTGACATAGGTGGTGGCAGTGAGCTCTTGTTACTCTTTGGGGAGGAGAAAATTAAGGGAGCAGGATGTGAAAGGGAAACAAACCGCTTTCATTTTTGTTTAGCTGGTTTATTGTCATTTGAAGCATGGTACTTCTTGGTGCCCACTAGTTCAAATTAAAAGTGTGATAATAAGCCTTAGAAATCATGGTGAGAGATTTGCTCTCTGCCTATTTAAAATATCCCCTATCACATGCTCTAAACTAAATTAGATGGGATTTGGTTAAGGAATATCTTAACTGTAAGGCTCAGATATTTGTCCCAAACCTTCTGTAGTGAGGGTAATCGTGCTACTTAATGCCCTTTTGTCAGCTTCGTGACACAGGTGGTCCTCAGTTCCTAGGCCCTCAGAGGTGTTCTGGTATCATAAAGAATATATCTGGTCTTTATCTCTGGTTCCCAATGCGGAGTTTCAAAAACGCTTAGAATTTCCTGAGTGATAAAAGTTTTCTGTTTGTTTGTTTTTAATTTTAATGAGGTACTTTCAGCTTCCAGAACTATGAGAAATAAATATTTGCTCTTTAAGCCACTCAGTCTGGTATATTTGTTCTAATGGCAACCTGAACTAAGACACTGCACAAATTGTATTTTCACCTGAAATAACTGAAAATAATGGTGTAAAGCCCAAATATCTTTTCCTGTAATGTTAGATTTCTGCTCATTAGAGATTTCATGGTGGTGGTTGAAGTTTTGGTTCATGTAGTTGTGAGGACCTAATGGAATTAAAATGAGACAACCCCAGTTACAGAAATACAAGGGCTATAGGTGGTTTCAATCTTTTTTAAAAAACGAAATTTATCTTTTTCAAAATTTTATTTACAAAATTTACTTTATTTAAAAAGTGTATGTAATATGTTCAATGATATAAAATTCTAGACAAAGTAGATTTAAAAACAACATAATGGACAATATAAATATCCATTTTCTTATGTATATCTTTTGTGCATTTATTGTCTTACTAGATTTATATTTTTCTTTATTTTAAAATTTGATTCATACTTATAGTAAAAACATTTTAAATATCATAAACAGGTATAAAGTAAGAAGTAAAAGTTCCCTTTTCTCCATCCCCTCCTCAGATATTGGTGCGTATTCTTCCAAACTTTCAACCACCAGATATATTTTTATTTTATTTAAATGTTTTCACATTACACATATTGTTCATTACTTATTTTTTTCACTGAATACTGTCATGGAAATCTTTCATGATAGTACATTTTGAGCTACTTCATTCTTTTTAATGGTTGTACTGTATTCCTTGATGTATCAATATCTTGCCAACTCCCTAATGATGGCTAAAGTGTTTCTAACATTTTATTAATAAAAACAATGTTGCACAAACATGTCCATAGCTTAGACAAACACAGTTATTATATTTACTTGAATATCCTTACATCCCTGCCCTCTTTTTAAAAATCAGATGTTTTTTCATGAAAGTTGAAGTATTAAAAATGACTAATGGAATATGTGGCTAAAATGTTAACTGAAAAGGAAAGAATCATGGTTTTAGTAATCCCATTTTTACTAAATTATATTCATGTCGACAAACCAGAAAGCCACATAAAAATCTTTTTAAAGGCTATGACTGAGTTGACGTGATGGAGGAGTATCAGGATTAAGGCTGCTTTCTCACTATGGAATTTCGTGAGGGGCTCCACTTAACTCCTTAGGTACATCCTCCCTGTTCCACACCCAGAAGCTGCCTGGTTTGTCTCAGCTCACTTTTAACTAGCAGGCCTGTTTGGTAGCAGGTCACATAAATTTTCAAAATTTAAGATGTTTCTAACAAAATACGATTAGCCATCAGGAAGGACCCGGGATTTGAGGTCTGGGAGATGTGAGGGAAAGCAAACTTTCTTTCCATAATCTCAGTTTTGATGAACCCCAAACTCCAAGTACAATACGTAGGACACAGACTCATTAGGCTATAGTCTCAGTATAGCTTGCTCTTTATTTTATACTTGGACATTTGTGCTTTTGAATAGCTGGTGGGTATTAAGAGTTTTTCATGGATACTTGGCTTTGATTACACTGTTCCTAAATGTGATTTAGCTTTTATCTAGTTAAAAAAATTATTAATTTTCAAAATATAATAGCTACAGCTACTTTAAAGTGCTTTCACTGTTTTCCAGATTAAGTAAATATTTCAATTAGGGAGGTAAATATTTTTAGATTGGGAGTGTGAACAGCTCTTGCTTTTGGAGTGTGTCCTTTAGTGAACTGAATCTTGGATTGATGGTGTTATATTACAAGGTGTATGTAATGAACTTCTGGGCTATAAGTCTTAAGTCTTGACCCAGTCCTAAAAGGCAAAGGAAATTTCCAAAATTTTTATCTTAGCAATGCAACCCAGTGAAATGGAGGAGGGGTGCAGTGAGGAATGAATGCTTGCCTTTGTTAGTTTATTAGTGAATCTCGAGATACCAGGCCTTCTGCAGTTGGTTGCAGAGATTTTCAAGTATCCTTTTTAATAATTAAAAAGAATTACAGATCCTCACCTCCCTATAGTTATCTCTTATCTATTCAATATATAGATAATGAACGGTACTCATAGGATGCTCTGATGTATTTTAATAACTGTGTTGTCCTTGATGGGTGTACAACCCAGATAGATTGGAAATTACTAGCTTAAGGCACAATTTATTCTTAATTTTGTCTCAGATATTGGTAAAACTTAGCTGAAAAGATATGAGTGAGCTCTAAAAAAATATTCCCTCCGTAGAATCCAAGCTACTTTAATAACTGAGCCATCCTCTTCTTCCTTAATTACTCTTATCAGACCATCTACGAGGGGGCTTGCTATTACTGAATGTCAAAAGCAGCTTGTAGGAGGAGAAACTATCCAGCAAGTGGGATGAAAAACCCTGTACAAATACTTTTCCTTCATAAATGGAAGGGGAAGAGGGCAAGTGAACAAGGGATAGAAACAATCCAATAAATATGATGTATATAGTTTCGCAGACAGTGGTTTATATTTTGGCAAGCCTCTCTACTGCGATCCCCAAGTTTTCTTTTTAGAGAAACTGTGATGCTGATAATAGCAGTTCTTACTGAAAAGAAATTAATATCTGAAAGTATTTGGTAATACTTGCTCTAATATTGCTCTATCCATCCACATTATATAAAGATACCAAGAGAACTACTTCTCTGGGTAAAGTCTTATAAACTGTGGTCTTCACGGCTTAGATTTTCTTGAATGCTTCCATTGAGGATGTAGCCAGCATAAGTAGGAGTATGAATCCAGACTGACTTAGAGCTCTTCTCTTGGCCTTTTCCTGTGGCATTGGCAGATGGATGTGTTGTCATCTGGCTGAGGAACAAGTTCCATTCCATCACGTATTTCAGGTTTGCTGGACTGGCGCTCAGCATATTTCTGAAATGTATTTTTGAAAGCAACAAAAGGATTAGTCCACACTTCGTTTTATTGAATCCTCCCTACTCTTGCTGTCATTTCTAGTTGCTGCATATCTTCAGACTAAAACCAAAGGTCTGGTTTGGACTGGTTACTGCAGTCCTAAAGTTACATTTGAACTTTAGTTGTTACAGGTACTAGTATAATATTTCATAATCTAAGAAGGAACGCTAATCTACAACTTTATGTTTAGGTAGGAAGCCTCTACAAAAAAGATGTCAAGTGGCCCTGTTTGAAACAACAGCACTTCTTAGCATTTATCCTCTGCTTGTTAATGAATAATTAACTTTACTGAATATTCAAATCAGCAAACAAAGGTGATAAACATCTCGAAATAAAGTTGGTGGCCTCACACATCCTTCCCTTTAGGCTCGTAGTCACACGTATTTTATAAATGGCAACAGGCCTGTGAAATCTTCCTCCACTTTAGCCACTGACAAATATTCCTATGCATTGGATATTTCAGATCAGTGGTTCCCGGTACATTTAGCTGTAAACTCCTGGTCCAGGGCCAAGCCAAACAAAATACTGACATGAGTACAAGAGCCTAACTGATATTGTAGGGGAAGAAACTCCTACTATTAAAATTATAGGTAGGCCAGCAGGAAGAAGAGAACTCATTTAAGGGAAAGGCTGCTTCTAGTAAATAGTATAATTTATTATTTAATTATTTTAATGAGAGGGTAGCATTCACAAGCATCTAAGGAAATTTACTTTTTCTGTACCCACAAAGAAAGTTTAGGTTAAAAACAAAAACATTTGTTATTTTTTCCTTCCTGACTAGGTATTACTAAGTAAAACACAGGGAGTTACTCAAAGAACCACTCCTTGGATTCTCAATAAACATTTGTATAGTTCTTCAGTATTCAGTCCTAAAGTATTAGAACTATTATAAATATTTTTCATTTGTTTGATTGTTTTATATAACAAACTAAGTATTTGCTTTCCATCTTGTACTGTGGTAGCAAAAGCATGACTCTTAAGTAGTAGGGAGAACAAAGAGGTGGACATTTTGAGCAGAAAGAGATGTTAATGACTTCTAGTCTATGGCTCTTATTTTCCAGATGAGGGAAGATGTTCTCTGAAGTTCAGAGAACACCTAAGCTAGGAATTCTGTGAGGCATTTAATAAAACAGCACTGACAAGATGGGAGAAGCTTTTAATCTATTTTTGTAAGGGCTCTAAGCATTCTTTTTTTATATAATAATGAATGGAGATAAAAATATGTTGGCTACAAAGGGACTTAGCACTACTCTTACTTTCCATAGGCTGGTGAATTGGCTCAACCAGAGTTCCACAGGCTGACTCTCTGAACCCCTCCAGAAAGCAAGGCACTAAGGCCAAGCATGTGGTCTGAGGATACATGACCCAGCAGGATGGATACTCTGCACTGACCTGCAGTACTCTGTAATAATAGCAGTAAAGCCTGTGTGGCTGTAGCAAGTCCCTAGCAGTCAACTGCCCTTCTTTTGCAATTCTCTTGGCTTCTTGATCATTTTCCTGAAAAGTTTAAAAAGAAACAATGAAAGAAAATTACTCTCATGACCCATAGACAAAGCTAAGGTTGAGTGTGAGATAGGACAGACATAGGATTGAATACAAATGGCATGGGAGAGATGGCACATGATGAAAATATAACATAAGAATGAGGCTATGGAAATAAAGTACTTTCTTAGACATCTCTGCTACATGGAAATAATCATACGTGTTTGCGTCCTATTCCACAGGCCCATTAACCCTACCCATCTTCCAAGTGCAACAACCCACATGCAGCCTCTATTGTGACTATCCTGGTATTTTCCTAGCTATCCAGGAAGTTTATGTCTCATCACCACTTCCCCCATTCTAGCCTTCTCTGTTTAATATTAAAATACAAACTAGAATAGAATGAATCAGTTTTAATGTTACAACACCTCTTAAAAACCCCATTTAATATGCAACCAGAGTCCAAAAGTTACCTATGAAAGACTATACTGTTGTAATAAAAAATTCAGTCATTAGTACTCCCAGGCTATTCCTTCAGTTCCAGGAATAGTCAGCATTCCTAATTATACTTTTGGAAAATAGTTAATATTCTACCATGCTGCCCATAGGAAAAATCATTTGTAAGCAATTCTAACTCTTTATACAGGGTCACAAAAATTATTCTGCCTCAAGCACCCAGTTATTTCCATAACTGAATATTGCCTCTCAGGAACTTAGAGAATAAAGTCTTACGATGGAAGAGTAAATTTTTATACTTTTATAATAAAATACAATAGCTTTTAACACTTCCTTTTAAAAAGAATTATTTTATGGGAAACTTGTGATTCTTGGGATGTTGTATATCATGCATTTATTACAAACGTGTGCCGTTTTCTAATTGGTAAAGAGTACCATAATTGCCTTAAATATTTTCTTGTGCATTATGCACTTTAACCCTGGTCTTTTCGATCTGTAACTTGCATGTGGTGTGATTTTGCTTCTCTGTGTGTTTATATGCATGAATAGTGCTTCTTTTAGAAAAATCTATATTCTAGAATTCAAATCTAAAAATCCTCAAAAATGTTGACAGAGGGTATACAAAATGATCCTGATATTGGTTCTTTAGATGTTTCAAGGGAATAAAACTTTCAGAAAACATTTCTTTTGACTAAATTATGTCAAATTAAATTGTGTTATGATGGAACTCATGTCACTAATACTTGTGAATTTGTTATTGCCTAAAGAAACTAAACTTCCAAAAGCGTACCTTGGCCCATTTAACTTTCTCTAGTAAATCCCCAAGGTTCCTTTTGATCGGAACGTAATGTTTCCAAGGCTTTAGTGCCACATAGAAATGTTCATAATATGGTGAGTCCTGCTTCAGAACCAGACTGTCACCCAGCATGAGATACGGGTATCTGTAAGCAGCCACGGTCCCATCCACATTCACTTGATACTTGTACTAAAAGATTAAAACAACATAAACAAAAATTTTAACAGTCATTTGCTTCATTCTGCTTCTCATCAATACTGTCATACTAAATATAAAGCAATTATTTTCCACTTTCTAACTTTATTGTTTAACAGTTTTATATTTTATTTTGTAACTCACAGTTTCTCTTTGTATTAACATCATAAGCAGACTGTACAAGGTCAATTTTAGGAAATACAATGCATTTCAAGATAAGACGATAAATAATTTTAACAATCAAGAATACCATTTCAACTATGTCTGTGTAATGGGGAATTCAGATTTCTGTAACCAAGTAGAAAAACTATTTTCAAAAGTTCTATATTAAAGCTAAATGTTGATAACAATGTACACTTTCATTTACACAGTTTCCTCTGTTTCTTGTACCCACATAAGTATGAAAAAGGAAGGCATTATCTCAAAGCTCAGTTTTAGAGTTGAGAAGACAGAAACCTGGAGAAGTTTAAGGACCAGTGTAATGCTGGTGACAAAGTACATACTCTGTTTACATACTTATTGGATTGATAAACTTTGATTTACATCTCACAACCACGTTTCTTGGGAAGTCAATCTCATTCAATTATAATAACGTGAAGCAGGTACTGTCATTCTCCCATTTTTTTTTCATAAACGAGAAAACTAGTGTTTAGAGAAATTTATAAACCTCTATTCTCTGAGTTCAAATCCCTTGTTTTTTCATTATATGAGACTGAGACGGAAAGAATATATTCACAGATTTACTAATTAATATTTTTCCTAAATAATTGGTACCAAGGATTGTACTAGCCAGTCAGGTTTTGTCACATTGTTCATATCTCATCTCCTTTGAACCTCACGACAGTGCTCTCAAGGAGCCAGGCAGGCATCACCCCCTGCGTGTTTAGAGGTCAGAGGCACTAAGAGATGAAGGCCCCACCTTTAGTAGCAGAGGCAGGACTAGAGGCAGGACCTAACCACAATGCTAGTTCCTATTTCACTTATATGGAATTTGTACTCTATTTACAAAAGGCATTTGAGAGCGTTTTATGTAAAAGACATATACATTTCCAGTTTGCTAAAAGCAAATACAAAAAAGAGAAAAACAGAGAAATGTACCCAAACCCTAGGTTAATCCTTGTACTATGTTTTAAGTATTAAATATAGTTCTGAGCTACTTGGTAGGTGAAATTAACAATAACAAAAGGAAACCACAATGAGTTTTGTAATTCCTCATGCCTCATAAGAAAGTGTGTGTCAGTTCACAAGGCTAGAGAAACGCCCAAGCCTAGCTACGTACAAATTTATCACTTCATATCCAACCAGGTTGACTTAAATGCATACCTTAAAGAAATCAAAGAAACCTATCAATTTAGCTTTTCCAAGTTCCTTTTCTTTCTCTTGGAAAAAGAAATACCCCGTGATTCCCGCATCTAGTAGCTCTGGATTTTCTTTGGACAGCTGCACCAACTGGAGCCTCTCCTCTCGGCTGTCTCTACCTCTGAAGAAAGCTTTCTCGGTTTTATTGATCCAGGAAGGCCCTAGAAGTTCGAGACCATTAAAAAAAAAAAAGAAAGAAAATATTATAAATTTGACATTTTATAAGGTAAATATAATCATCTTTAATCTACTATTGTCATTTAAGAAGTTAGAGCTCTTTTACCAACAACATGTCTTCTAAAGTAAGTACTATTTCCAAAAAAATATGGGACTAGAATGCTCTAATTTCATCCATTTGTCTACTAGTGAGAGCTCGCTCAAGTGTTGGAGTTCCTTTTGTGCAACATTAGGAAATATCCAAAATAAGGTTGGATCAGTTCAGAGCAAAAAGAGATTAAATGACTTGGCCTACTCACTAAGGCATTAGCTTCTTCCATCTTTTGCATTTCACAATAAAAAATAATGAACTAGGCTTTTGTTTTTAGATAGGGTGACCAGAACAACCTACATAAGTAACACGCACAGGTCTTTAATGCTTAGGTTGCTCAGAATTTTGAGCACATAATTTTTGAATACAGGGAAGGCTTTTTCTAGTAATATTCTGTTAAATGCAAATATATAAGCATATATAAATAGATATATTTATATCCTCTCTTTCCTGAGAGGGAAATATTCTGAAAGAATTAATTTATATCTATTTCTGTTATTCTAAAAAAGGGTCATTAGTAAACAGCTGTCAGTGTTCTAAGGGGTAAATCATATAACATAGAAATTGGATGTGTCAATCTCCTATGTTAGCACACGTTTCAGACATTCACTGTTATCAAATAAAAAGTAGGTCAGTTTTAAAAAAGTAGGTCAGTTTTTATCAAATAAAAAGTAGGTCACATTATCTTTAGTTTACAAGGAATCTCTGATTTCATCTATTAAATAAGTCCACCAAATCACAATAAGCAGAAATAGAGGCTATAAAGACAAGGCAGGGTTTTTCTACTCAGGAAGTTCAGTGTAATAAAAAGATATGTCATAACATAAATCTAAGGCCATCAAACACGGGGAAAGGAAATGAGATTTTAAAGGATCAAGAGAGGCAGAAAGAGGAAAGAAGAGAATTCCTTACAAAGTGTTGGAGGTAGTAACACTCAAATTATATTGCTATCACAATTCTCTTACACATGAATATAATTTTATATTTTTCAAAATGCTCTCTTACTTCATCTAGCAATATAAAGGTATTGGAGTCAGAATTAAATTAAGTGACAATTTTACCAAATATATATTTCCAAATAGTATTTATAAGTGAGCAACTCAAAAGAGACTCAGTTATGGTAGGTTTGGACATTACTAGGCCAACCCACGTATCTTTAATTCTTGGATTAGAAGAATCCTAAACAAACTACTTTATAGAGTTTAGGGTGCTGTTTTTCTTTTTTCTTGGTTAGAATATAAGGAAAATGGTTATTTTAAGTATATACATATTCTCTCTCTGATTAAGCATTCCCTTCCCCTTTTTTTTTACCTCTAAGCTTTTTCTTAGAGAATGAACTTAATTTTACCTGTATTTCCCTGAATAGAGAGGAGATCATTTGTAACACCCCTCATTGCTTCAAGTGTGGAGTGGGTGATGTCATATGTTGGAAGGATAATATCTTGTGAATCCAGAGAACCACACCATGAAATGATAGGTAAAGGGCCAGGAGTTTCATTGACTTTTCGATGTTCCAAGGGCCAATCTCCAAGATTAATATAAAATTCTAAATCTGGGAGAAGGACCTAAATAAAAAAAAGTATAATCATCACTGCTGGGAAAATCTCAGTCTTTGGCACTAAATGCTTTCGTTCTTTGGCTTTCTTAAGTATTTCGGATAAAACTGAACATTTGAAAATAGCAGCAGAAGAGAGAATGCCTCTCAGTCAACAGTAGTTTCAGAAAATCAAGGATGAGGATGACACATCGTCAATTCACTTAACCAGGAGCCAGCTACCTCTGTTCAGAGGTGACATTGTAAATTGTTTAGTATTATAGAAGTGGAAATTGTGTAGAAAGGTATAAATGAGTGGCTACCTTTCTGCCAGCCGCTTAAGTGAGAATCTATAAAGTTAGACCCAAGCCCTTGTTTTTCTTCGTTATCAAACCTCTTTATCACATCTACCTTTGTTTCTGCAATTTGCTACTCCATTTCCATCTCCATGGCCAATGCCTTAGTTTAGGCCTTTATCATCTCTTGCCTACATTATTGCAATAGCTTCCCTACTAGTGGTTCTGATACTAGTCTCACCCCACTGTAAACTGCTCTCTACATTGCTGCCCTAATTTCTAAATCCCAAATTAATGTTACTATCAGGTTTAACAGAACCTTAAGCCTGTAGGACAAAGTCTAAACTCTCTGGCTAAAATTCAAGGCTTTACTATCTTGTTATGGCTTAGCTTGAGCCTCAATTTCCATCTGCCCATATATCACTAAACTTTAGGCTACTCTCTGAAATTATGTAATTCTCTGCTGTTGGAATGTTCTTCTACTCATTCACTTTGAAGTCTCCTTTCTCATCCTAAACTCAGATCTAATGTTACCTCCTCTGACTCGCCCTGCCCAGGCACTTTAACCTGGATACCTATTTTTCTTACAGGCTTATCGTGTAGTGGCACAATTATTTGTTTGTATTCACATCCTACCCTAACTTTCAAATAACAAAAACAAGTCCCACTAGAGTGAGCTGCTCTAAGACCAGAGTGAGTCTCAATTATCTTAGATTTCTTCCCAGTCACCAGGCAAAGAAACTGGAACAAAAGGGAAGGGAAAGGGATGTGACTATTCACCTTATTGCTTCTCAGCTATCATTTATAAGCTCATTAATAAACTCCAAATCCAAAGTTCTCCCTATGGAACAGGGTTCTTCAATCTCACCACTATTGACATTTTGGTCTGAGTAATTCTTACCATGGGAGACTAGCCTGTGCATTGTAGGGTGTTTAGCAGCAATACTGACCTCTACCTGCTAGATGGTAATAGCAACTTCCCCAGTGGTGACAACCAAAAATGTCCTAGACATTGTCAAATGTCCTCTGAGGGGGAAAATCATCCCTAGTTAAAAACCACATGAGCACAAGATACAGGAATGCAGGACAGGGTGGACTGGTGGTAGCCTAGGAAGATAGCACCATTTTTAGGATCGGATGCTCAGAATATGTTCATATTGTGGGCCGAGGGGTAGAGCGGGGGAGAGGGGAGGCGACTAGTATTTAAAATAAGAAATGACTGTAGCTACACATTCAGCATACTTGTGAAATTGTATAATTCATATCAGGAAAGTTGGCTTTTGGTTTAGAAAACTACCTTGACGTTCTTTCTGGGTAAGAAAGATAAAAATTGCCCATCTTCACCCTTCACTCCTCATGGTCAGGAAGAAAGAACAAAAGTCACTATAAATTGCTCAGAGTTTTGCAAATGGGGAAAGAGAGGCTCAATAGAGGGATGGAGTGGTAGGGGTTTGGGTGATATATAAAAGTCTTCTGAAAGATAGAGGATCCAAGCATACTTAGTAAGAAGCCAAGATCTGACGATCAAGGACAGCCAGTGAGAAATTCCCAGAGGCAAGGATGACTGACAGTCTGATTAATATAGGGATATCTATTTTTGAATGTTAGGGTTTTGTTTATTATTTTTTAAACTATGTACTGGTACAAAATAACTTTTCTTTCTTACCCCAACCTTCAGCAAAATGTGCCATACATAGTATCTTATAGAGATGCTTAGGGCAAAACAAGGAAGATGTGTTCTAAATTCAAGTTATTTTTAGATGACAAGAAGAACACAGCTGCAGAAAGTAAAATCTGAATGGAAGGAATATTCAGTAGGAATGGAGAACTTCTAGAACTGACCCTGAGGCTGTCAACATCTAGGAATTCACAGAAACCTTGGGAGTGCCCTGTGTGGCCTACTCATCGGAGATGGAGGCTCAAGCCATTTAATGGAGGCTCAAGCCACATAAATATTACAGGAAAGGGAGATTCATAGAGGTAGAGAACTTAGGAACACTCAGGAGGTAGACACTTTAGATGCACATTTCAAAGCCTGGAATATACTTTCATTCTTTGCCATTATTCTCCTAAGCATTTAAATGTTACGACTAAATAATGAAATTACACTGTTTTTAAAAACAATGAATTCATTCTCATACCTTTCTTGCCAGTGATAGCAAAATCTCATCTGAGAACATTTTGAAGTCTGTGTACTTCCCTAAAGATCTCCGGTAGATGTGGTTATTGAGAATCGTGTAATGGACGATGGCACCCCTCTCATCCCCAAACCTTTTTGGAACTTGGTTTAGCATCTGCTGCAGATCGATGCTGGGGAAAGAAGCAAAATCTTTTGCAATCTGTGGTTCATTAGTTGGACAAGAAAGAGTATTCTGCCAGGCCTGAGGAGTCTCTTCTGGACACTCACAGTATTCGTGGTACACTGGTCCTAGGAAAGGCAAAACACATACAATGCCACTCTCTATTAACAAACACAACACAGGGAGTTGTTTCTGCTCCTTTGTGAACATGGGATAACTTCCTGGTGAATTCTAAGATTAGTCAGATAGGGGAATCTGCCCTAAACACATCAATGGTGAATGTAGTTATGTCAGAGTCCTGTGCTTCTACTTTCTGTCTTCCTTCACACCCTCCTAGACAATCTAGTATGGCCTATGCTCTCTCCCAATATAACCTACTCCTGGTCAATTAGCCAATAAATTTATTTCTAGTGAATTAAAAATGGCTGATGAACATAAAGGAACCTACTTTATGCAAAAGAATGAAGAGTACTGAAAATGGTAACTATCTGGCTAAACACGCAAGATTTTTTTAATCATTTAAACCTCTTTAAGTTGCTTAGTTTTCTTTCTCTTAAAATTTTAAGTAAAATTGGGCTCCAGGGGATATGTATACCATGTTTGCTCTGTTGCATATACCTTGGAGGTCATCCTAACCCATTCTGAAAGGCATGGGATCTACACATAAGACTGGCTCTGGATTATGTAATAATCACTTACCTTTCAAAATATAGGGAGACTGAGCTACATGCTCATCACCATAAAGGATGTCTATCTTCAGCCCTTCAATGGCCGTTTCATACATCCTATACCGCATCAAAAACGTTCCATCATTCCTGTCCAAAGGTTTGGACGTGTGAATCCGGACTAACTCTTTAGGTGAAAGAGATTTGATTACTACTTTGAATAGTGTTTGACCTGAAAGAAAAAGTACATATAAATAACTCTACTACTTCATAGTTGTCTTAACAATTAGTGGATAAGTGTTTCTACATGGAAGTTACTTATTTTTCTAGTATCAGTAGTAAACAAAATTATTTTACTTTGGAAGATCCTTGAGGCCAGAAACTATTCTGGCTTATCTTCAAACCAAGGACCTGACTCAATGTTGATTCATTAGTCACTCAATAAAGATTTATTGAATGAACAACATCAACTCATAAAAAAGGCAAGGAAGAGATCAACTTTTTGCCTTTTTGATCTTTTCTTTTTGGGGTAGGTTTGAAGCCCAGGTAGTTAAAAATCTGTGAACTCTTAGAATGAGAGAGCTCTAAGGCAATCCAATTTTCTTCTTGTAAAATATACACAAGCTTCCTTGTACACCATTTTCTTCTTGTAAAATATACACAAGCTTCCTTGTACTCTCATTTCTGAGGAAATTTTCCTTTTGCCAACCCAAATTTCAAGCTATACTTCTAAGCCCATTTCCTTAAGTAGAGAGATATTATAGCTAGTTACTAGACTGGGCACACATACACACACAACTTTGTAACTACTAGAGTTTACTTATCTAAGCTTGTTTCCTCAGGCTGAAATGGAACAGTTATACTAGGATGATCTAACATCCCTTTCAACTCCAAAATTCTGTGGGTTTTCTGTTCTAGGATAAACAGTACCTAATTAGCTTAGCAAACTTTCCCTTCTCTTTGCAGTATATTGGCTGACTTCTTTGGGCTTTGAAATAATACTGTTGTGGTTAATGTCACAGTGGCCCAAGTGTAAAAGTTTGGATACCTTTCTTCAGAGAGTGCAGAGGATATAGCTGCACTCAGTGCAGATCGGATCCTCAGGAGCTTTAAGAATAAAGATCAATTAGTGTCCTAACCACAGTTAATTACCATACCAAAGGGCATTTTTTAAAAAGTGGTGAATCCTCTGAAATCAACAATAAGTTGTGACAAAAGTACCTTTTCATCTCATATCTCTCGTATTATGAAATTAAGCATGTTTAAGATATATATAGAGAGAGAGGTTACTGAAAAAGTTTGTATCGCCTATTCTCAGTTTCTAAATATCGTGATAAAGTTTCTACTTTCTTTTCATCTTCACGGGTTTTATTTTTTCTTTTGGGTCCGGAGAAATGTTTCTCAGTTTCTTCAATTTACTAACAGTAATGTACTATGTGAAATCTTCCTATTAATTAATTAAGTACTGAACATACACATTTTAGGATGTTTGAAATAAATGTGATTAAATTATGAAAGAAATCCGTTAAAATAAATGAACTATAATAGGTAAATAAAAGGGATGGTTATAAAAGAAAGGCAATAATTTAGAGTGAAATTATTTAAAATGTTGGCAATTACCTGAAATGCTTAATGAACACATAAGTTATTGATTTGCTATTTCCCATTTGGTTTCAGAAAATCAGTGGGGTATGATAGAGTAAAAATCAGGAAGGCAGAGCCTGGAGACTAGAAAGCCATTGCCATTATTCTCTCTCCAGACTAGAAACAGTCCAACAGTCTTCTTGTCTCCTGAGCAAATAGTCTTGTTCTCTACAAATTTATGATTTTAATAAACAAAGCAAATATAAGACAAGCATAGTAATCACTGTGATTTTTTGGAATGATCTCGATTTACAGAAGAAAACTGGCTCCAAAACGCTTTATTATTTTTAAATTGAAAGTATTGGACTAGATCTTTGTGGTCTCTTCCAGTTATAACATTTTTTTTGGTCTCTGAAATAGCATTTAAAAGTTATATTTTAAAATGTACATATAAAAATATAAGATAGCTATTGGAAATGCATATTTTAAATGTTAGGTTATTTTTATAGTAATCCTTCATGCCTGTGTCATTGTTGGCATGAAATTAATGTTAGAATCCATGCAAAATAATAATGATCAGGAATGAAATAAAAGCAATTCCAACCCCATAAAAGAGAAAATGAGAAGAGTGCAATTTCAAATTGTTTTAAAATGAAGAAATGTGAATTCTCATTTGCCCCGGGGTCTAAAAACAAACAAACAAACAAACAAACAAAAACAATTAAAGCTCAGCTTGAGTTTTTCTACTTCAAAAATTCAAAAGTTTTTAAGAGAGATAACTAATTGAATAAGAATGCAGTGACTATGTAGGCAAAAGGAGGTTGGCAGTATCAGTCTTACGTCATTAGAATCAGAAATTTTGAAGATTTCTGATTTGGAAAGAAATCAAAAGCATTTTTTAAAAAAATTCACTTACTTAGCACTTATTTGCCAGTCCCTGAGATTGAAGTTTTTCTAGCTTATTTCCTACAAGAACCTGTAAGGTAGGTATTGTCACTCCATTTTACAGAAATCAGAAAACCAAGGCTCCCTTGAAGAATTTAAGTAACTCTCTAAGGTCACATGCATAAGAGTAGCAGAGCCAATATTTGAACACAGTTTGAATACCGACCTGAATCCACCTGGTCACATTGTATAATGTTAGCATACAGATTCACAGAATTCAAAGTTGGAGAAACAATCTCTGGCACTTCTGGTAGAATAGAGTCATCAACTCCTGCCCCTTGTTTAGGAATTTTATTAAGGCTCTCTGCAGCTGCAACAAAAGTGTAGAGCCCACATGGCCAAGGGAGCAGAGTTTAGAAGGCCAATTTGTTTTGCCTTGAGGCTAATTGGAATCCCCCGAAAATGTCTGACTGCCATCAGACTGTGGATATTCTCTAGGAACTTATTAAAAACTGATGAACGACAATCATATCATGGCTGACTTGATTAAAGGGAAAAAGCATTGAGCTAGGTATTCAAGGGTTGGGTGTCTGGTCTTGGCTCTGACACTTAACAAGCTATGGGGCCGTAGGCAAGACATTTTAGCTTCACTGAGTTTCAGTTTCTCGTGTGTAACGTGAATGAATAATAGCTATCCTTCTTACGTCACAACACAAGGAGAACAAATTAAATAGAGCAGAGTTTAAAACAGTAAAATGTAAATATATATATGCCTTACTGTTAAAGTGTACAGCTGAAACTTATTGGATTTCGTTAACCAAAGTCACCATAAAAAAGATAAAACAGTAAAATGGTACACGACTAGTAGATTAAAATTATTTTATGAAGATATCATTACTGATAAAAGTAGAAGAGGACTGAGTGGAAAACGAACAGAGTTGACTCTTGAACAACATGGGTTTGAGCTACATGAGTACACTTACATGCATATTTGTTTTTTAATAAGTATACAATCAGCCCTTCATATTCTTGGATTTCCCATGTACAGATTCAACCAACCACTAATTGAAAATGGTATTTTCGATTTGTGGTTGGGAATCCGTGGATGCCGAGGACTAACTGTATGCATTGTTCTACACCACTTTATATAAGGGACTTGAGCATTTGTGGACTTTGGTATCCATGGGAGTCCTGGAACCAATTTCCTCTGACATGGAGAAACACTGTGGTTAAGTTTTTGGAGAGTCAAAGTTATACACAGATTTTTTACTGCACCGGGGTCAGCACACCTAATTCCATATCGTTCAAGGGTTAACTATATTTGTATCTTACCATCTTGACATAGTCCAACCATTCTCCCTCCAGCCCTCTTTTCTTTTCTTCAACAATATTTACTGAGCATCTCTGCCAGGCACTATGCTAGATGCTGAGAATATAAAAAATATCAACAGGTTCTGCCTACATTAATTATAGAAGGAAATATTCAATTTAAGTTAGAGGTTAGTGAAAATAAAGATATAGATAGGTTTTTTTTCCCATCCAAGGTCATAGACCCCTTAATTTCTGTCTGTGGACTCCAGTTTGAGATCCCCTGCTTTAGATCATTCAAGTTCACAACACGTTTGTTATCTAGGTACCTGGAGATATGCAGCATAATAATGGTAGTCAGACACTGTTAAACAGGAGCGATAATTACAATAATAAAAGGAATTTTGATAAGTCGAGTAAAACGATTTACAGCTTGAGAAAAATTTGCCTCTTTTTCAATAAGTCCTTGGAGAAGGAAAATTTTCAGAACTTGCAAATGAATGATGGTGACAGAAGATGTAAGAAACTGGTTGGATTTGCTTTTCAGAACTATAAGACAGCCTTTTAAATGGAAGCTAGAAATCAAGTGGCTTGAAAGGAAACAAGTAGAATCTAAGGGAATGAAAGTGAGGTTGTCTGAAAAGACTTGGTGAAAGTCTTTTTTTTTTTTCTTATGACTTTTTTCCTGATTATAAAAACAGTATGATCACTTTGGGGAAAAATTTTCTTGGGAAGAAAGAAGAGTGAAAAAAACGTCCTTACTCTCTTGCCACAACCACTGATAACACTGATGAAAAAGCTGTAGGTTATTTACAAGATTAGAATCAAACTGTATAGTTTCTTTTCTGTTTATTCTATCTTTAACCTAAGAGAAGTATTATTAAATAATCTTTTAAAACTTTACTTTGAAAAAATTTTTAAATTTAATTATAAAAACACATAAATTTGACCATCTTACGATATTTAAGTGTACAGTTCAGTAGTGTTAAATATATTCATTTTTGTGCAATGAATCTCTATACCTTTTTCATTTTGCAAAACTGAAACTCTATAGCAATTCAAAAACTTTCCGTTTCCCTCTTCTATCAGGCCCTGACAACCACCATTCTACTTTCAGTGTCTATGAATTATACTACTGTAGATACCTCATATAAGTGGAACCTAAAACATTACTTTTCATGACTGTCAAATATTCTATCACATGAATGTACCATATTTTTATTTAGCAATTACCTTATAGTTGGCTATTTAAATTTACTACAGTACACAATTATAATGCTGCAATAATATCCTTGCATACAAAAATCTTTTACCACATTCTGATCATTTTCTCAGGACAGATACCTGGAAATCAGGTTACCAGATTAAAGGTCATAGGCATTTTTTGTAAATGACATTTTTTAAATGTTACATTTTCTAACTGTTAAAACTAATTTTTTTTTGTACATTAGGTTT